TAAATAAATTTTATTATCACACATACAAATTGTCTGTTTTAAAGCAGATGAGCTGTAAATTGTGGCAAAAATTATGCCGTAAAATTACATGAGTTCTCGAAGCTACTGCAAGCACTTTTCCGTTATTTCAAAGAGATTGTTTTTTATCAGAAACAGATTGTCTGTTAAAAACAGATAAACTGTAAATTGCGTTGTGAATTGTGCAGTAAAATTACAGGCATTCTCGAGACTCTGCTACAGGAACTTTTCTGTTTTTTTAAGGAGAAATTTTCTAACAGTGCAGGCAAAAGATCTGGAAGCAGCAGCACAGTCCAGATCATATCAATGTTCAACCGCAGGAGTTTGGGGACAATGGAAGAAATTGCCCAAACTAAATAACTGTAAATGCAAATGCAAATACAGTGTACCAGGAAATGCAATTCGATATAGTTCTGACAAATCATTCTTTTCATGTTCATGTTCATGTTTATTCAAAGAGATTATGCATTCAGGCAGCGTTTGAGTGTTTTTTATTACTAGGAAAATGATATGCTCAGATTAAAATAATGAAAGCCCAGCAGGCAACCAACAGTGCTGCATAACCTCAATCAACCCTTCTTGGCCTCACGACATATGTATGGAAAGCTACATGTAGTTAAATGACATTTATTATCAATTTCCTCATGCCACACACATGCATACTTGTTTTATGGTTTTCATGATTCCTAATTTCAAAAACCTAGGGTCCATAATATTGACATACAGGAAAAATATTTGATTGCCCTGTCATACATGATGTACTACACTATTCAAAAGAATTAAAGGAACAAAAGAACAGAATGCTTTTGTAATGGTCTATATGGGCTACTGTTAGAACAAGAGGCATTAAAGTTAGGTGAAAATCAGTGTAGAATCTAGATACTTAAGTTCTTAGACGGCGCTATTACAACTTAATTGTGCTGAGCCCTGTTTTCCTTAAAAAATTGGTGGCGCTCTTCGAAACCATGCCTATTCCAAAAGTTACATGAAGTCTCCATTTTGATGCAATAATGTTGGTGTATTTTTCACCTTTTTAGTCTGGCATGTTACCCAATCTGGGTGAGTAAACCCTTGTTAATAGTTCATTTTCACTTCTGTGTTAAAACTTTGAGGGATAAGTGTTTATTCTTACTGTATTTGTCTTCCAAAGTTTCATGTGTATTTTTCGATTATTTTCACATGGTCTGGACTATTCGTTAATGTTTTTACTGATTACTGTTGCGATTCTTTATTGTATTTCAGCATAAAGCCAAGTCAAAGCCAAAACCTAAAGCCTAAAGACAAAGAACAGCAGAGAGAAATAGAAAGAAAGAACTGGAAAGAAATAAACCACGGCTTTATCAGCCAAGAGTAACACAGGAAATCAGCTTCACTTGTAATTTTAAAACCTAACCAGCTACCCCCCATTCTACACAATCATTCAGGTGTTGTCACATAACTTTAATGCCTCTTGTTCTAACGGTAGCCCATACAGACCATGACAAAAACATTCTATTCTCTTGTTCCTTTAATTCATTTGTGTAGTGTATTTAGCCCCTTGAGGTGTGCAGCGACATGCAGTGATGGGGCTTAGGCACAGGCATCCTATTTATGTCTACATGTAAATCTTAGCAATCAATGTCATTTTTCTGTTTACCCACAGCTTATTATGTGTATAAAATGTAATAACGTAATAAAATCAAGATTACAGTGCACATTTCGAGTAGGAACAACACAAAATCAGGGTTTACAACCCTTTGGTCAGTAACTACTAAGCATCTGGAAAACTTTTCATTGCTTTCCAAAGGAATAAGTAAATTGTACTTTTTACATACATTCTGCCAACCAGGACAATTGGCCATTCCATTATTGTAAAGGGTCCTAATTTTGTAAGATTCTTACTGTTCCTAATTAAGTTTTTGTTGTGAAAGGGTTAGCAACTTCAAACGGTGTACTCAACATATTTCTAACGATTCAGCTGAGTGCGTCATTCCATGCCGTATTGTAAATGTTGGAATAAAACTCATCATGTTGCTACATGTATATTTCATGTACATCCCTAAATTTAATTTAGTGTTCTCAAATTTAACATTAAAATGAATACACGTATGCTAATCAAAACAATAACGTGCATGATGTACATAAATCTGTTGCCCATACAGAGTTGGTGGGCCAGCACTAGGGAGAGGAGGAGGTCACAAAAGTGAATCACTAAACAGAGACGATTGCAGACCTCTGAAAGAATGCCACAGTTAAAGAATGTGAAGAGCAACAACAGGAAAAGGTAAAGATTCCACAACTTTGATGTGATTAGTATGCAGATAGTATAACATAGTTTGAGGTTGGAAAGTCGATATTAGCTCCCCCTGGTATCTGAAGTTAAACTAGTTCCCAAGGCAAAAATGAGGAACTAGTCTGTTAGCTGCTAATGCCAGGCATGCCAGGGGAGGCAATATCGACTGTGTAACCAAAATAAACAATATTCTATTTGTTTTACTTCACCTCATGCATATATTACATGTAAAACGAAACAAGGACATGTGTACATTTCCACAATATTTCCATTTCATTTTGGCATTCTCAACTCAAAATACCTGAATCCACTCTGATTCATTTACACAAAGGAATGCAAATGAAACTGCAGCTCAGATCATTTCACAGGATTAATGGTGAATCATCTCATGGGCGACCCATGTGATAATCTATCTGCGCAACTGGCAAACAGTACAAGTAGCAGGTGATGGTGATAGAATTACCAATGAGATTTTGGTACAGTAATGTCCATTCCGGAAACAGTCTCTTTTGTGAGAAACTACACGTATTTTCCATGGTAACTGACAGAAGGTGATGTCACCACCTCACCTAAAGTCAAGTTTGACCAGGGTGCAGTACTGTGATTGGGCAAAGGAGTTTAGCACTGCTGCAAGGCTCGTGTCGTACATACATGTACATGTCCTAATAACCAGGGAAGCACAGACAGTTTCTGCTGGTGTGAACTGCACCATAATGATCAATTCTGTCCACATTCCCAAGAGACAATATTTGTTACAACTCAGTCAAATAATAACTTCCTAGATGTATCCACACACAGAGGGCAGAGAATTATTCTGCAGGAATTTTATTAGTAAATCCTTCACCTCTGCCAGACCAAAAGATTTTCTTTTAACACTTGCAACATTTTTGTGTATATGACTCAACTTGTAGCTAATGGGGTATTTAGTGTATTGGTACAATGTATGTTATGTTTTTACTTTTCTATTTTGTTTTCCTTTTCTTTTATTCATTAAGGAGAGGGCAATCAACAATGGAGATAACCATTACAGTGGAGGGAAGAAAAAGACAGCAGCTTAACAGAAGGCCGACCAATTGGCAGTAGTAATAGGCCCGTCCATTGGTTCAAAGCAAGTTAATGACAATGCCCTACCGAGTAGCTGTCATTGCTTATTACAAGCCAAGATTCAGTGGGATAGACGAGACAGGAATGGATTAAAGGCAGTGTCAATCATGTGGGATCAAAACAGACATGATATAAGGGGTAAAGTTGCCTGATTCTTGCAAGGTGCAAAGCAGTAAAGAAGGATAATGCCAATACAGTTGAACATGTAAACAAAAGTCGCATGTGCGTAAGCAAAAACAGAAATGTCAAACGACAAGAGGCTTGAAATTATTAATTATGAGCCCAACCAGGGAGAAAGCTGTCCCCAATGGAAAAATGCAAAGAAATTGGCAAACAATAATGAACCAAACAATGAAAAAGCAGCCACACTGCAACAAAATAAAAAAAATAAAATGATTCAAACATGGAAAAAGTGGTGATTCTGAGCCCCAACTGTACTGTATACATGTATGTAAATCAGCCGCACAATGCCAACCGGAGCATGGTTGCTTGCAACAAATGTTCTGGCTGGTATCATTTGTTGATACATACCGGTAGATCTTGAGCCAGAAGGCAAGGATGAATCATTCATGGATAATGTTACGTTTTATTGCAGAATGAATGGTTGTAATTCAGGAAAACTTTCATTTTGATCAGCTTCAGACAGCACAAGTGACAATAATGAATTGGGCATAACTTCCGTACGACACAAAAACCAATTTCAGGTGAGTGAGTGAAACTCTCAGGAAACGAACGATGAAGATGAAAGACCAGGCGTAAAAATACATGTACATGTAAACAGCACAAACACAAAAAGTTTTTAGAAATACCCTTGAAAAGAGCAGATGACAGTGAACATTACAATTGTAAGATTAAAAGTTCAAAGTTGAGGAGGACTAATAATCCTTCCTTGAGGAGGACTCCTAATCCTTCATGGGAGGCATCTGTACACAGATGCCTCCCATGAAGGATTAGGAGCAGTACTCTACCAAGAACAGGACGGCAAGAAACAGGTTATTGGCTATGGATCACGAACCTTGAGCCCTGCCGAAAGGAACTACCACCTACACTCTGGCAAGCTCGAGTTCTTGGCTTTGAAGTGGGCTGTTACTGAGCGATTACTTGTACTACACACCCAGCTTCACCGTGTACACAGGCAATAAACCACTCACCTACATTCTCACCTCAGCCAAACTCAATGCAACAGGGCACCGATGGGTGGCAGAACTTGCCGATTTTAACTTTAAGATCAAGTACCGCCCCGGACGAAACAATGCCGATGCTGATGTGCTGTCTCGACTCCCTTTGGATATTGATGAGTATATGACCCAGTGTACCAGTGAGATTACCACTGATCACATCAGTGCTGCAACCCAGGCTATCACCGTGAGAGAGTCAGTCTTCTGTCCCTGGGTGACGGCAGTAACGTGTGTGCCACATAACCCGGATGATGAGATGACTCCAATCAAGAAAGTCAGTAAGCCAGAGCTGAGGGCAGCTCAGGAGCAGATGAAATTATTCGTCCTGTTCTCCATCATGTGAGTAATACATGTAGATGGCAACTGGGCAGATGTGACCGGATTGGACGACACCCAGACACCACTATTCTCCTTCGTGACTGGCACAAGCTCGGCAGAGACGAAGATGGGGTCTTATAACGCAGATCAGGTGGAAGGTGCCAGGTTGTTCTTCCTCGCAAGTATCACCGCCTGGTTTACAGAGAGCTGCATGAGGAGATGGGCCACCTAGGGGCTGAACGTGTCATACATCTGGCATGTGACCGTTTTTATTGGCCCCATTTGCAAATGGACATTGAACACTTCGTCACAACCCCTCCGTAGGATTGTTACGACGGCACCCTTTGAAGTTTTCTCCATCGATTTTGTCCACCTGGAGAAGAGCGTCGGGGGGGGGTATGAATACATTCTGGTGCTCGTTGACCACTTTACCCGGTTTGCACAAGCTGACCCGACAACTAATAAGTCTGGCCGGACTGCAGGTGACAGAATCTTTAATGATTATGTCCTCAGATTTGGATTCCCGCACAAACTGCATCATGATCAAGGGAGGGAGTTTGAAAATCAGCTATTTCAAAGGCTACAGAAGCTAAGCGGTATCACACCATCACGAACAACTCCCTATCACCCCCAGGGCAATGGCCAGGTCGAGCGGTTCAGTCGTACGTTACTGGGAATGTTGCGGATCCTACCAGAAAAAGACAAGTCACACTGGAAGGAATCGGTGAACAAGATGGTCCACGCATATAACTGCACTCGTTCGGATGCAGTGGGTTTTTCACCTTTCTTCCTCCTGTATGGTCGACAACCGCGCCTACCCATTGACCTCGCCTTTGGCTTACACAAGAAGGTGGGATTTCCCCAAGATCACCAAAAGTACAACCAGCGTTGGAAGAAGCAAATGGCAGAAGCATACGAGTTGGCTCGGCAGAGTGCTGCAAAGTCTGCTGCTCGTGGTGAATCCAACCATGATCGAAAGGTGTCCTCCAACCTGGTGACAGAGTCCTAGTGCGGAACCTCAATGAAACTGGAGGACCATGTAAGCTCCGAGCCCACTGGGAAAAAGAAGTCCATTCTGTGGTGAGGCAACTGGGTGACAACTTGCCTGTATACGAATTGGTCCCCGTGAATGGAAGGGGAAGGAGACGGACCCTCCATAGAAACCTGTTGTTGCCATGCAACAATCTCATTGTGGAGGAAGAGACAGCACCAAGGCAACCACCACCACGACCAGCCCCACGGACACAGAGCCAAGTTGTCCAGGACTCTCGACTCGGAGAGGACCACTCCAGTAGCTCCGTTGAGGAGTATGTAGACTTCGTCCATACACCACAACAGCGGTCCTCCCATGAAGTGCCCCCAGTCCCTGCCCCCAGTCCCTGCCCCCAGGAGAGAACGGTACACTAAACCACTCAACCATGAGACAGAGTTTATTCCAGCTGCAAACCAGAGGACAACACATAGAACTGATAGGCACTTTGCGGCAATGCGTCATACCGATGCCCCCTCGTCAGCAGACGCCCATTTTCCAGCCGACGCCCCCATCACTGCCAATGCTCCCACTACAGCCGACAGCCACCCTCCAGCCGGTGCCCTTGCACCAGCAGACACCCCAGAACAAGCAAACACACCGGGACCAGCCAGTGCATTAGGACCAGGCGAGGCATCAGAACCAGCAAATGTACCAGTGCCAGACGATGCATCAGAACCAGCCAGTGCACCAGGACCAGCCAATGCATTAGAGCCAGCCAACGCAGTGGAACCAGCTCACGCGCCGGAACCCGCCGATCTACCAGGTCCAGACAATGCACTGGAACTAGCCTCTTCATCAAGGCCAGCCCACGCACCGGGACCAGCCAACTCAGCCAGACCAGTCAATACACTGGGACCAGTTGCAACAGGACCAGGGAACACCAGCAAGCCACCTGACGCTCTAGACCCTGCATTTACAAAGCACCGCAGCTACGCGACAAGGCATCGACAACCCCCACAGCCTTTGACCTATCGACAGTTAGGTGAGTCACAACAGCACCAAGGAGAGGTCAACACCATTGACTGGAGGAATGGCCCACCTTTTCAATACCCAATGTTGCCGTGGCCTCATCCCCTGATGACAGGACCTGCACCCTGCACCATGTGGCCACAAAACTTGATGCCATGGGCTACCCCAATGACGACACCCGCTTGTAACTCTACTGGATGCAGATGCAACCATGATAACTGTGGTCCCCGCCGTCAGTAACATGCAAAGGCACCACACAAAGCAAAGACTTTGGGTTCCTCATGTTCAACAACATGTGGTGCTAATTAAGGGGACACTTGTTGAATTATTAGCATGGACTAATTGGTCACTTTTCCATTGTAGGCTTGCGTTGATGTTGAGGACAACATTAAATTTTCCTGGGGAGAGTGTAGAGGACCCATGCAAGATACACATAGAGGGTCCCTTCCTTTTTTGTTGTGGCCCAAGGTTCTACAGGCACCCCCTTATTTTTTTGTACCCTCACAACTGTTTATTTGGTGCCACATATAAACCACTGTTGTATGTGTAAGCTTTCTCTAAGCAGGAAACAGTCACAGACTTTCAAGTAAAAGATGATGCAACTTCCTGTCAGGCACTGGGAGGTTGGTGTGGGAGCCTTTGTTCTGGGGCCATTCTATCCCCAGACTTCAAGGAGTGCAGAACATTGACCCTACACCAAGCTCAACCAGTGTCTGATTGCTTTCATTCTTTACAGAATACTGGAGATAGATTAATGTACACCCCTGGGTAACTTTTAGCGGGTTTACTCCGGGTGTAACAATATGGATGAGGGCAAAGTTTCCATTCTGGTTTTTCTTGATCAAAATCTAATTGATTTTAACTATGGTACATGTAGGTCTTATTTATTTCTTATTTATTTATTTATTCATTTAGATATGTATTTCTTTATTTATACTTATACTGATATACAGCCCCTGGGAGCAGCTTGATGGATTGGGTGCTTTATAAATGTCAATTATTATTATTATTATTTTAAAATATTGAAAATTTTCAAATAAGTCTCACTCAGATAGTAGCAGTGAAACGTTACAGGACTTAATCCCGGAAAAAGTTCTGTCAGAAATGTGTAGTAAGAGGAACATAAATCTCACCAATATAAACGCGGAAAAACATTCAGACCAATCAGGCCACCTCCCTTCCAAAAATGTCACTTTTACATAAAGAATACTACATGGATGCTGCATGTGCATTTTCTGTTATTCACTTTCAATTTGCTTCCAGGGCCTTGCATGGCGAGAATAAAACCAGTTCCTCCAACCAAGTCAATATCGTGTGTATATTTTGACCAGTTCATTACAGAATTTCTCTGCCATCACAAACACTATAAGGCCTATCCCCCGCAGAGACTACATTTGAAAAACGAAGATTCTAAATGGCAACTATAACAAACCACCTACATGTGTATGCACAAGAGCTAATTTTAAATGACATTTCAAATCTGCTTTCTTGAAAACAAAATGAGACAAATGTGACAAGTCGACTGTTTTAGTCACCTGATCCCTTCATTTTGTGATACATTTCTTATTCACTTCTAGACTTCAATATTCCTATTTCTACACATGTATCTCATAAACGGACTTGACAGACAGACTCTGTGAAACATCTTCCACAATTACATTCCTGTACTGACTGGTGCCGTTGCATATTTACAGAGCCATGCATGCCACATAATTCTGACAATAGAATTCTTGGGTCCGTGGAAAGTAGTTCCTGAGAACAATTTGTGCTTATAACAAATTTGTCAGTTCTGCATATGCCCACTACCTATCTGTGCATATTTTCTTGTATTTTTACAGCCGTCCTGTGTCCCTCACACTTCATAATTAAGGTATAGCAGTTCTATATACTGCCAGCTGTGCGCTTTGGTAGATTTGATGAATTTTATGTACACTATGTGTACTATTTTTTATAAAATCTGAGAATGAAAATTACAATCGGGAAAGTATACGTAACAAGTGGGTCAATCTTAACTTACACTAATTGGATGCATATTTTGTAAGATCTGTTATATTGTACATTGCTACAAAACTGTTAAAATTATTACCGAGTTGCTAAATTGCCATATCCTACCTACATTCTGTGCACATGATTATTGGCACGTGTCTGGGTATTATTATCCCAACTGTGGAATTTTCCACTGTGTGTTGTCAATCACCCACATGCAGCTGTTTGTCTGAGAACTATTTGCTGAATTGTTTTCTGTGGCCTAAAACAAAGCAGTAGTAGGGTGAAAGCTTACTACTTTCTTTGGCATATGAGTGAGAGATGAAACAGTAGTAGGGTGAAAGCTTACTACTTTTTTCTGGCCTATGACTGCGAGATGAAACAGTAGTAGGGTGAAGGCTTACTACTTTTTTCTGGCCTATGACTGCGAGATGAAACAGTAGTAGGGTGAAAGCTTACTACTTTTTCTCAGGCCTGTTACTGAGAGAAAAACAAGAGTAGGGTAAAAGGTTATTATTTGCCTGGTGCCAATGGACATTAGAGATGGTTGGGTTGGCAGTATTTGAAGGTGGCAGTCTTGCGTTTTTGTTCATTCGATCACCATGGCTCCTACTAGCAGGTTGTTCAGCACTGATGCGCTACAAGGTGTTTTTCTCCCTGATTCGGATTATCTTGAATCCTCCTCTGAAGAGAGTGGCTCGGATGCCCCAAGTCACTCAAGTGACAGTGACATGACTTTCGAGGAAAGTGATAGCAAGAACTCGGAGTCAGAGGGCATCACCTGTGCAAAAGAAACGTCCGCCGCATTTTCATATTACTCGTCCAGTGCATTTACATGTACATGTATACCCAAAACATCTGCTGAATTTTTATATTAGAGTTTATTTGTCGATCCAGTTTAGAGTAGTCTTTGAAGTAGTCTTTCACACTATATACTTTTATTTTACTGTTTTTATTTATTTCTCACACATGCAAGTGTACTCTTTTCATTTTTGTCTGGCATAATTTAGTTTGTTTTTTAAGATTTTTAGTCCATGTACACAAAGTTTATTTGAATTTTATTGCTACTAACATGTATCACACAGAAGAACATCGGTAAATAGATTTTCATCAACAAGTCATTGAAGAACTGTTTCTGCCTATGGAGGAAGGAACACAAGGAGTTCCAACGGGCCGCTTAACCTCCGCAGAAGTAATTTGCAATCAATTAGCAAGCTGGCCGACCAGCACAAAAGGCATGGAGACCTCCTAGGGCGCGACAGATTTACTACCCTGATAAGGTCCTTTGCTCACACTGTGTCTTGCCGCTTCATGGTCACACAGAAGACGTTCATGCTTCAAAATCATTGGAGTTCACAAACCATGCACAAACAAATGTGCGTGATCGATCACTAAAACAGAAGCATTTTTCACACCATATAGCGTGCGCAGTGTATTCCATGCGATTCTCCGAAAAATTCTGAAACGCTTGATGTTTTGATCGTCAAAATCCAACTTTCCATCGGTAAGTTTCGTTATAATTTCGTTGTTGGGATGATCGTGGAATTATGAAGAATATGAATCCATATTTATGAAATTAAGTGGCCTTTCCGAGGCATTCCAACTGCCAACAATCGGGGAATGTGTTTGAGGTGATTTCCTTTGTTAACTTGTGTAGGTCAAATTTTGGAGCGATGTGGAGCAATAAATATATTGGAAGAATAAAATCGGGTTTTTTTGAGAATTTTTGGTGGGGTAAAAGGTCATTACTTTTTCTAAGCATAGTTAAAGAACGGCTGTAGAACAACTAATAAGACCATAATATGAAGACAGGAATAATAATGGGCTAGAAGTTAGAACTAGAAGCATATTCAAGTACATAAAATATTTGTAATTTAGGCCCTTTCTCCATATCATGTCCATCATCCATGTCGGTCAGCAATTTTTTGGGGTGACGAATTGGTTTTATTTTTGACAATTCTGAAATGGAAATGTACAAGACTGATGCAAAGAACAAATTTGCTAGGGAGGATTTACGACTACAGTCACATTTTTTAAGACATGATTGTTTCAAAGCTTTTTAAAAAAATATATGGACCTTCCTCCATGGTCAGTACGGTATATGATTCTGTGAACTCGGAGTATTAATGGATATTCTACCTTAATTTTTTACTCAATTTTGTTAAAGATTTTACCAATTTTTGTCAGCATTAGAAATAGTCATGTTGTCAAAGGTTTTAATGTAGAATCCAGACCCCACTTCAGTTGAAAGCAAATGAAACCTTGTGGAAGTACATGTACATGTAACATTTTCCTGGATTTATTTTAAGATTTTTCTTGACTGTCGGATTTTATGGCATGGAATTTTTCCAGATTTTAGTAATTCTTTTGTGATTTTTTTTAAATGTGAAATTCCTTTTTTTCAGTCAAATTATGAGGAAGCATGGACTATGGAGGAAGGTGTGTTCCCTCTTCCATGTATGGACAGAAAAAAGTATTTTACAAAAATGAAACTTACCAATGATTGCTTTTTGGTTACCAATATCCTTCGTGCCCCATGCCCATTACTTGTGGAATTTTCTTTTTCCATCAATCCATGGAGTTGCCATGGAAAACATTTCAATGTTCTGCACCTGAAATTCAGAAATGTTTTTTCCAAATTGGTCTAATTTGTGTGTAAATGAGGATTTTGTTTTTTGTTCCCTAGAATCAAATACAAGTAGGCTGTGCACCACGGGCAGACATAAGGAGTGCCTTCGGGAAATTTGTAGGTTGTGCAGTTTCCCACGTGCAGTCCAAACTGATCGTAAACCTGTCAAGAAGGAGCAACTGAGCAAAATCATTCAAGCTGCCTTTGGTCTTGATGTCAAAGGAGATTCTGAAGATGTCCATCCACTTTTCATTTGCAAGCTTTGCCATTTGAAATTGAAGAAGTGGTGGGCAAAAGCTCAAAAGAAGCAGAGAGCAAATTTAACCATTGAATTGACCACTTTTGTTGAAGCATCTTGTGAGAAGTGTTCTGCCTCCAAACCCAGTGTTTTTTCTTAGCATGTAGGGGAGTGGGCTGTAATGACACAGAGGTTCGGGTGTGCCACGTGGCAAGGTGAAAATCTCTTGCAGATCATGAAGATGAGTGCTGAAGGATTGCCTGTGGCCTTTCTCACCATACAAAGATATTTCACAATACTTCTTGTCTCTCGAGTCCCTGTACCACTGGAGAGCCAATTCACCCAAGGTGTTGGTGAAAACCTCACAGTTGAGCATTTGGAAGTGTTGTTAAAAGAGTTTCATTACTGTTTGTTTGTGAGGGCAACCAAGATTTCGAGGAGTTGATAGAAATTAAGAAAGGAGAAGAAGGTCAGGTCCCCATCCAGATAACAGCCAATGATACTTATGATGGAGTAACCATAAGCCATAAAAAATATCTTCTGTTGGTTGAGAAGAAAACACAATGTGAGGTCTGCCAAATCTACAGGGCTGACCTAAATGCATTGCTTGGTCAGCAGAAGGCAAAAAAACAGGTCATCTCCACATCTTCGAAAATTCCAAACAGCAGTCTGACGAAGAAGCAACTGAAGACTAAAGTGGCCCTTCTTCAAACAAAAAGAGGAGGTCTAAAGCGACGGGCCGACAGTTTGACCGCGAAAATTGCAAGCATGTTACGAGAGGAAAGCATAGGTGTAGATAGTATTCCTGCTATCCACCATGGTTGACTGTGATGCAGAAATGAGAACTGTATTGGGAACAGAAACTCTGGCCCGTCTCCTATGGGAGCAGCAGAAGGAATCTGCTCTGAAGGACAAGCAGATGAGATGGCATCCTGCAATCATACGCTGGTGTATTGCCCTTCGGAGCAGATCGTCCTCGGCTTACAACCTCATCCGGCAGACTGGCTTTATAAGGTTGCCACCTCCGTCCACTTTGCATCCTTACAGCCATTTTGCTAACCCAACTACTGGCTTCAATTTTGATATGTTGGAGAGGATTGTCAAGGACTACAAAATTAGTCAGTGCCCAGAACGAGAGTCAAACATCTGTCTCCTTTTTGATGAAATGAAAGTCAAGGCTGGTTTGGTGTTTTCAGTCCGCTCAGGAAAAGTGATTGGGTTCACAGATATGGGTACGGTAGCGAATGAATTGGCTGAGTTTGAGCGCAAATGCAGAGGTGACAAGGAGCCAGAAATAGCATCGCATGTAATGGTCCTAATGGTATGGGGTATATTCTCTCGTCTGTATGCACCAGTAGGTTAATACCCCACAGTCGGTATAACTAGTCATCAGCTGTATCCATGTCTTTGGGACGCTGCATTGTATTTGGAGTTGGCCGGTTTCAAGGTGCGTGCATTTACTTCAGATGGGGCATCTCACAACACAAAGTATTACAGATTGAATGAAGATTCCTCCACTACGAAAGATGTAACATTCTGTGAAATGAACACAGTCTTTTGTGTAACAGATTATATACATGTTTTTGCATGAATATTGCATGAAAAATTGTGCAAAGTGATGATTAGTTTTTTTTTCCCAATGGTTTTTAAACAAACAGTACAACAAGCAAGAAATCAAATGGACCCAGCTTCTTCAAGTGTATGAATGGGACATTGGTCTAGACCGGCATTCTCCTGGACTACGACGTCTTCATAAGATTACTTATGAACACCTGCACCTTACACCATCTTTGAGGATGCGAGTTTACATGGCAGCACAGGTAAGTTTTGAGATTTGAAGTACTGCATACAACATGACGTTAAACCTCTTTTTGTAACATGCAGACCTGCATAATCTATTCAATATTCTTGCATTTCACAGATGAACAGAGTGAGGTACTTTAAAATCAAATAGAACTTCAATAAATTAGAGTGGCCTGATATGTTTTTTCTCAGAACCAAGACATCTTCGAATAAAACTTGCGTAAGCAAACTGGTATAGCCAAGGGAAAAGGTCATAAATGACACACAATGAGTAATTTACTATTTCCATTCTGACAAATATTTGTTGCAAGGTGAAATCAGAAATTCAAATAGGCAGAGAAGGCTATGCTGTTAAATTTATATAATGTATGCAAACCAGCTTTCAGAATTGTTTTATCATTTATTTTTTTCTCGGCACTGGAGACATACAAAAAACCGATGACTGGCGCTTTGAAGTAACTAATGTCTAAACTTTAATGAATAATTCTTAGTAGAATACGATTAGCCTATAAATGTCAACTGTGAGCCTTTGCCTGAAAAGGCTAACTTTGAAATATTAAATTCATGTCGTAAAACATGTAGCAAGAATGCACTGACAATTTTGGAAAAAAAAAAGAGTTACAGTTATGGTATTTTTACCATCAAAACATGTTTTTATACTTTTCTCCAAATATATTTTTGCAATTGTATTTGAATATTGACTGTAATCTTTAAAAGTTTAATTTGTAGTGGCTGTTGAAGGAGTTTCTTGGGTTCCTGAAGGAGTGGGAGGAAGAAGTGCACAACCTCAAGGACATTGACAAAGCAAGTCCAGAAGAAGATGTGTCTCAGCAAAGAGACGACGGATGGCATCAAAATCACAGGTACTCACGATTGTATAGATTTTTGTTCTAGGTATGTCTTGCGGTATAAAAATCTTTGAGTAATATGCAGTTTAGCTGTGTCCAAAAAGGGGATGGCTTTAGTAGTCCATTGTACATGTACAGTATATGGAGGCTACCATGTGCAATGTTATACTTGACTGCTTCAAAGTACACAATGGAAGTTATTCATTTAGTGACTTTTTTCACATCAAATCTTCTATAAACCCTGCACACATTTGGAACATCAATAAAAAATTCAAGTCAACCCATGGCGTGAAGACATTGTGATTGTCATGTGTAATGTGATATAAAAGTTCAATTTTTTTCAAGTGCCTATATGTATATGCAGAGAATGTGTAATTATGACAGAACTGTGGTGAAATCACGTGCCCATATTGTTGTGGTTAAGGATTCTACTTCAGAGGAAAAAAAATTGGGTTGACTTTTTGCTCCTGTTAGAGGGTACATGTGCATGTATATCACCACTTACGTTTAGGCCTTCAATGGCTTTTCCCACTTGTTTTATTCATAAATACCGGAGACAGTTTCCCATTCAACAATGCACAACATGACTATGTGTTAATATTTGATAAAACGTTTAAAAACGCACTGGCGCGTGGATACATGATGACTTAATCCATTCCTATCCGGTTGTGACGTTACTTCAGCTAAAACTATACCCACTGCAAATAGAATTACATGGAACCATGGAACCGGAATAATGCAGAACTTTAATGTTCATCTACTGAACATGAGTTGAGCGTCCGCATGTATGATGAAGTCATAAACTGGTCAAGAGAAGGTTTTCCATGGCACGCAAAACTGGCAATATGTGTGCGTAATCCATTGAAAGGGTCTCTTTGTGGCTGCTTGGAAAGGGGTGTTC